GACGTAAGCCAAACGCAGCTACTCATTAGCACACTCAGCTATTGGGTCTTAGTGGCGCTCCGCACACTTGGTTTGATATGAAACAGAATTTACGAATAATTATTTTGTATTAGTCAATGAAATGAATTGGTATCGTTATTGATAGTATTAGATGGTGTATGTTATGAATTGAGGTGTGAAGCTCACTCTCACTTCATAGTGTTTGTTCCTTGAATGACTTTGTGATGATACATTGCAGTAGTATTTTGATAATATTTTGTTGCGTTGGGTTTTTTGAAGTGGATTGGACGTTCATTGTCGTCTGACTTTTGTGAAGAATTTGATAGATTAAGTGCGAAGATGAATTTTAAGTTTAAGTTGAATCATGTCAGAAATGTTTCGGTGAAGTTGTTGGTTGGGAGTATTTATGAAGAAAAAAGGAGTTGATCAGAAAAATTTGTTGAATTTGAAAAATATTCAAAAAGTGGCTGAATGAAGATGAGTTTGCTGGAATTTGTAAATTATAAATTTACGAAAATCTCTTCGAAATGCTGATAAGTTGATGCTTTTGTTGGCAGCTTGATTTCGATATATTTGTCGATTCTAGGCCACTCAACAAATCAAATACGTCTCAGCCGGTCAGTGCCTGACGGCCGATGAGTCGGCCTCAAGTAGTGCACTGTTGTTGAAAAAGTGTAATGAGGCGGATGCTTTGCAAAAGTGGAAATGGCGTGAAATATACGTTGACTGATCAACTTTTCTTCATTTTGTACGTTTCATATTTGTTGCTCGTGTTTTTTATTTTCTGAATTTGGTTCACTTCTGAATAGTTTTGATTATTTGAGTTGAAATTCGTGTAATTTCTTTATCGAAAAGCAGAAATGTTTCCGAGCTCAGTCGAAACTGTTATGAGAACTTAGCGCAAGATGTCTTCATTTCAGACTCAGATCATCTAATCTGGATTATTACTCGATCAGCCAGTGATGCATGTGATGATGATTGATGATCTTGAATTGTCGAGAATCGAATCGAAACAAACAATCACAATTATATTAAATGCGCAATATTTCATGCGCCTATGAATCAGCAGTTGCGTTTATTAGTAGAATACCTCAACTTCGGTCA